GATGGGAAGGGTGGGACCTGGGCCTCGGGCTGGGGCGGGGTTGGCTAGGGGAGGCTTTGCAGCCGGGACGAGGGATCTGGAGCCGGGGGTGGCCCCGGAAGGAGCCTAAGGTTTAGCTTGTTTGGGGCGGGGAAGGGGGGGTCGGTTAGCCCTGGTGCAGAGGAAAGGCCATTGAGAGAGGCCTTCCTGGTCTAGTAAAGAGGTCCAGACGCCACAAGACTTAGAAATCCTCGGCTTCCGGGGTGCCAGCCCCTGGCAGCTGCCTGCTTTTTGTATTTGGAGAGCCTATTCAGAATAGCAGCAGGGCAAAGGTTGCCCCTGGGTAAGATTCAATTCAGCTCCATGTCCACCGAATTGCAGACACTTGTGCGCAAGTTGGGAAACAGGTGATCCCCCTGAGAGTCAGGTGGGACGCTGGCTTCGCAGCTCTTACCCAGCTGCATGTCCGAGCTTTTAAATGAGGACTTGATCCTCAGCATCAGGTTGCATCTACATTTTTTTTTTTCTATTTCAAAGGTTTGTTAAACACATATGTCTTGTGCTTGCTCACCTGCTTCAGTCATTTAGCGCAGGGGACGTTCAGGGTATTGTAATGCACCATGGCTGGCCGGGTACACAGCTGATTGGTTCCACACTAACCCATCCGCTGGGTCTCAGATAGGTCTGAAATCTCTTCAAGATAACTTGAAATAACTTAGTGGGGAGGTGCTCGTTTTAATAGTAAATTTACAGGTTTGCTGTTTTATCGTTTGAGAATTTCAGAATGAGAAGTCATTGCATTACTACGTTACGTGACTGCGTTAGGTCACGGAAACTCATCCATCTAGAGATTATTCATTGCAGGAATCCAGGATTGGTCCAACTACCCTTCGTCAATTGACACCTGGTGAGGTAAGATTTGTCCAGAGTCACTGAGATTATAAGTTTGGTGTTTTGGTTTGTAGTCTGTTTTTTTGTTTGTTTGTTTTTTCTTTCCATTTTACTGTGCTTGTTATTGCTAGCCCGTTTGGTAGGAATAGGAAATAGAGCATGGACTTAGCCAGTGTTCTTCGAGTGATGGAGTTCAGGCTCCTTGTTCCTGAGAGCTTTGTTCAGTCTAGTGGCTGCTGCTTTACGTGGATTCTAGCCCTCAGCCTTGTGAGAAGTTTTAATATGTGCTTTTCTAAAGGTGGCCAGCTGTGTTCAGTTATTTACAGGAAGGAGAAAAATAGCATTGCATTTACATGGTTATAAAAATCGGATGATTGCCCTGACCGGTTTGGCTCAGTGGATAGAGCGTCTGCCTGCGGACTGAAGGGTCCCA